ATGGATTGATTCAGTGACTGGGGTAATCGGGATGGGTGTGTCAGAGGCAATGCAGTTGGCACAGGATAGATCAGGGTTTAGGGCTGCTGTACATAGGGTTGCTGTGAGTGGCAAGCGACTCGACAGCACACAACAACAACAACAACATCTATTCATGATCATTAAAGATACTTAGGATATTTTTTTAAAATAATTACCAAATTTCTTTTATGTACATTTTTAACTATTTCCTTGGTTTAAATTTCTAGATGTGAAAATTTTTTATCAGAGTATGAATATTTAAATAACTTTTGAATTATATGATGCTGGTATATTGTCTAGGCAGTTTGATAGTAGCATGATACTCTGGCTGTCACAAAAGGTTGTGCTGGCTTCTATTCGATTTGGTTAATTAAATTGAGTTGGCTGGCCCTGTAGCCAGATAAATATGATGGGAAACTGTACTATTCATTCATAAGTGTAAACATAATTTTACCTTTATGGTCTTTTTATTGATAATACAATATGTAGACAGTTTGAATTTGTCATCTCAACAGCACAGAAAGACCTTTAGATTCTCCTCAACTTTATAATTAATTATCAGTTTTTAATTTTTTTCATTTTAGAAATTGAAGTTGTAGATCTAAACTAACAGAAGCACTACTTGAAAAAGATCTTTGTAGGCTCAAAGCCCATTGTTGAGAAACCAGTTATGTTTTGCTTTCTCTGAGGATATTTATTGACCTCTGTTCACCCATTCCAGACTCTGCCTTGCTGGAATATACCTTTGAATTTTAACAGACACTTGGTGACATGTTTCAAATTACTTGGGTTTGAATCCAGCAAAAATAGACCATGCTGACACTTCCTTACCGTCGAGTCGTTTGCAACTCATAGCGACCCTATGCACAACAGCCCTAAACCCTGCTCTATCCTGTGCCAACCGCACTGCCTCCAACACACCCATCCCGATTATCCCAGTCACTGAATCAATCCATCTCATAGAGGGTCTTCCCCCTCCTGCGCCATCCCTCC